TCAAACATCTCAAACACGTCGAGAGCGCAAGGTGGCCTCCAAGATACAATGCTGGCCTGGTGTTAAGACCGGCCTAGACACAAAGCGTCGTTGCGTGCCTTTCTAGTATACAGTCGGACTTTTTTGCTTTATATATATATATATACAATAACAAAAACATGTTTGGCAGAGGAGCCTCGGGGTTTCGATGTGGCGCCAAGTGCTCCCATGTCCTCTCTCTCTCCCTTCTCTTCTTGTCTCTGCTCCCCGATCTCCCGCCGAGTATTGTCGAGTTCTGCTAGTCTTGGTGGCCTGGGCCGCCCCTGGACGCAGCCGCGCTTCCTGCTGGGCGGGGGCTGCGCGCTGCTTGCCGTGGCCCCCCCTCCTGCCCTGCTTCCTCCTCTCTCGCTCGCTTTCCTGCTCCCGTCTGTGCTGCTCTCTCAGGAGGGGAAAAACACGGACACAGTGAATCGTCAACTCTCAGGAAGATGTGGGAACATGTGGGAAGTGGGCAAGACGGAAATCCAGAGAATGTTGAAACCTGTGGGTAATTCTGGGATTTGTGTGCATCTCTTTGTGTGTCCTTGGGCCCCTTGACTCTTGGCTATTTCTATTTCCTCCTTGCCGCCTGTTCCATTTCCATGCTATTGCTGCGGCTGCTCACGCGTGGCGCTCAGCTTTTCGTGCCTGGCTGTCCTGGCCTTCGGGTATGCACCACGACGCCTGGGGTTTGGGACGTGTTGCGTTGCGGGAGAGTTGGTCTTGAGGCTTGCCTTGGCTTCCTTCCAGCCTCCTCCCACCTCCCTCCCTTCCCCCCTCTGTCGTTCCTCTTTTCCCGCCCCCTGGCCGTGAGACGCCGAGACGCCAGAAGAATCCTGGCGACGAGAGGACGCCAGGAGACTCCCAAAGAGGTATCTCTTTTGATTCGTTTTCGTCGCCAGTTGCAAGATGTTCGGCGCCGCATCCGAGTCACAGGTGAACGTGCTCGCCCACTGGGGTCTCGAAGTTGGTATATGATTCCAACTCGCGGATCCAGATGCAGTCGGAAATCAACACCAGCTCCGAGAGGACCCAGCCTTCACGCCTGGCTCCCTCCCCGGTGATGCCGTGCACGACGAGGCCACTACGGAGGACACCGAGAGGCTCATGGCGGAGAGCGAGCACATGGCCAGGGAAAAGAAACTGGCGAAAGTACGCGACCACCAATAGTTCACTTTCTCCATCCTGGTAGACTCCCCTTTGCCTGAGGACCACGGCTGGAACCACCTGGTTGAGGACCTCCAGACGGCCAGCGCCAAGCTGCCGATGGACCCTGCTCTGGCACCAGTGCTCTACTACGTCATGAGCCTCCACCCGCACATGAAGCTTGGGCGATGCACCAGTGGTCCTCCGGGAGCAATGCACGAAACTGCTCAGCCACGACGGATTCTTATACGACCTGAGCTGGGGGGCCTCGACCCGACCAACTACGTCCACACGGCAATCTGGGCTGTCCTGATGCACGTGGCTGGCTTCATGACAGCGCCCGACGACAGCGAAGCCATGCCAGAGGAGCAGCTTCCCCCCGAGCCGCTGCGCCCTGGCGCGTCGCACATGCGGCGCCGGAAAGAGGTCTCTGTCTCGCCCGGGACGCCGCGGCGCCCCCCGCCTGCTGGAGCCGCAGCGCATGCGGCTGTGAAGGGCGCACGAAGCGGCCCTCCATGCAGCGCCTGCAGGCAGTCCTCAGGAGAGCGGCGCCGCAGACCCAGAGACTCCCTCCGCAGCTGCCTGCTGGGCCCAGGCGCCGACCCGCTCGGCTCCTCCTTCATCTCCAACGTGTTGGTGGTCATGCTCATCACGGTCCAGGGGCCCCACGTGCTGCTGTTCCCCTACTTTTTAGTCAGCGGCCGCGTGCGAGCGCGCCGGCGACGAGTCAGGTCAAAGCGGGCTACGCAGAGACTAATTGGGCAAAGGAAACGCGGGAAAAACAAGCAGAGCAACGCGTGAGGCGACGGCTAAGCGCGGCCTGCTGTTCCCCTATGGGAAGCCTAGCCCTACCGGGATGTCTTGGAGGCCGCCCTGGCCTCTTGTAGCCGCTGGAACCAGGTCCGCCTTCCCGTCCGCGATCAGATCGGAGTGGTCCGCGGCGTCGACACCAGGGGCTTCCGGGCCCTCCGCGGGCGCCTGGAGGCGCTGCTCGGAGCTGTCGGCAGGGTCGTGGCGGTGTCTCACGACCACCCCATCGCGGAGCGGCGTCAGTGCCCGACCGCCTGGAAGGACCTGGACAAGCGCGGCTTTCCCTTCCAAGCTGCACTCGTCGTCTTCGAGCACCAGGTGCTCGCAGCCGACCTGTCCAAGCTGTTGGGGGAGAGCTGCGCAGTCTGCGCCCTCTCCGCCGACCTGGCGGGCACTCGTGTGGGACCACTGGAGCGGGCCAGCGGCAGCCCGGCAATCTAGCTGCAGTGCGTCGGGGGCGGCGTGTCCAGCTCGGGGCGCGATTTCCCCAGCACCCCTCCGCATGGACTGCTGCCTGGCGTCGTGCTGGATTCGCCCACGCTGCGCGACAACGACGCCAGGTTGGACCCCTCGAAGGCCAACTCTGTCGGCTGGTGCGACGAATGCAACGAGAGCTTCGATCCAGAAAGAGTCGCCTGGGTCAACGGCGAGATCCGCCAGCTCCTGGCAACCAATAGGAAGGCAGCCTGCAAAGGCGGGGGGCGAATTGCCGCCGGTGGCACTGCGTCGGGTGCTGGAGGGGCGAGTGCGGCGCCTGAGGAGAACCGATGCCAGGCGACGTGAAGGCCCCCCCACCTTCTTGCGTGCCCTGGGCAGCGAACCGCCGCCAGAGCGCGAGCGACACGCGCGTCGTCCATCTCCCTCCGGACGCAGGTTTGTGAGACCGACCGGCGGGCCTCGCCTGACATATTTCCTTCTGCCGCAGACGGGCACCCGCAGCCCGGCAACAGTTGGCGCCGCCCTCCCCCGGGGCCGCGCCGAAGAGGGTTGAACCGGTGTTCTAGGCCTCCTCGATGGGGCCCGAGTAGATGGGGTCGGAGGATCGCGCCGCATCGCCGATGCATCGCCGATGCGGCTTGATGCGGAGGCCGATTTCCTTCACGCGGACGTGAACGATGCATCGCCGACGTCGCCGATGCGTCGCCGGTGCATCGCCGATGCATCGCCAATGCGTCGCCGATGCATCGTCGATGTGTCGCCGATCGGCGCGATCCTCCGACCCCATCTACTCCGACCCCATCTATCACCACCCACCAAACCACCCCAACCCAACCCGAAGGCTCAGATTTACCCTCGATTTCCAGTGGGGGGGGGGTCGGGAAACATCGAAAAATCTCGTGTGGAACCCTTACCCCCCCCAACCCGAAATTCGGGTCTTCGGGTTGGGTTGGGGTGGTCTGGTAGGTAGTCAATCTAGGAGGCCTCTAGGTGTGTGCGCGGCGCGCAAGGGGTACTGCCAGGTGCGAGGGGAAGTGCGGCGGGTGCTCGGCCGCGGGGCCCGCCCTGGCGTGGCAGCTTGGGGCCCCTCCGCCGGGCATGTCGCCGTCCGCCCTGGCGAGAGGCGCGGGGGCGACGCGCTGAATCGGGCGGGACCTGGCGTGCGGCCTCCCAGCCTACCGCGATTGACGAACCGACAGCACACACCCATACCCATAGGGGGGTCGGAGAGGGCTATGGGTGCATGTTGTCGGATGGGGGTCCCCGCTCGAACGGGAGCGTTCCCTAGGGTCCGACAACCCGCACCCATACCCATAGCCAGTCCTCCTCCCAACGACCCCCTTATGGTTATGGGTGTGTGTTGTTCGTTCGTCACCGATTGGATTCGCGCCTTCAAGGAGAAGATCTGGAATGCCCAGTGGTGCAGCCCAGACAGCCTCGTCCGAGTCTGGGGCGCTCGACCTCCCTGCGCGCGTGCAACCTCGGCTCGGGATGGGGTAATGGCGCGCCATGGGAAGCTGCAGCCGCGCGACATGGCAGCGCTCGAGGCTGGTCTAGCAACCCCCTGAACACCAAAGCAGCCCCCGCGTCCGTCAGCACCCAGGGTCTGGGCGACGACTTGGACCGGCGCGAGGCATGGCAGGCGGCCAAGATCGCCGACGACCCGCTCGGTGCCTTTGCAGACTCCAGCGAGGACGAAGATTTTTTTGTGTCTCCTAAACCCGGCAAGAGGGATGCCACGATCCGCCCCCCTCACCGACCAGGCGCAGGGGGCCAAGGCTGCGCTTGAGGCAGAGTGGAAGGAGAGGCCTCGGGAGGCTCCAGAGGCTTCCTGGGAGCCTCCAGACATCGGCGGCGAACCCCTGGGGGTAAGGGGAAGGGGCGTCGACTACGCGTACGAGCGACCCTTCGCCGCCGCGCCCCTCTACCGAGGCTTCGGGAGGCTCCAGAATCTCCCAGGAGCTTCCCGGGATCGGCGGCTGTCCCCAGGGGGGAAGGGAGACGCCCTGAAATCTTAGCTTTGCAACTTTTCACAATGAGCGTTTTCGCTCGATTTTGGGCCGCGGGACCCTCACATATCGACCCCGCTCGAAGGTTGACGCAAAATGCTGGGGTCCGGGGCTCCAGTCGTGATTTTTGGCGAGGTAGCAATGGTTTGGCAACGTCGGATCTCAGGGGAAGGGACGCCGACTACGCGTACGAGTGACCCTTCGCCGGAGTGACCTTTGGTTCGGGCCCACCGGGGCCCCCCGATCGCCGAGCGCGGTGCGATAGCGGCTGCTTGCGCGCTTGGATTTGGCCACCTCGCCCCCTTCTTTGTCCGTGCGCCCCAACGGCCCAACGGCCACCCTTGCCAAGGGCCACTCTTGCGTGTGGCCGAGGGTGGGCCTTCTCAGAAGGCTCGGGAGTTCCCCTGGCCTTATGAGAAATTTGCCGAGCCTTCCCCGAAGACACATAATACCCATCATAAGGTTCGAGGTATCTGAAAAATCGTTGTTTTTGGAGAAGGTTGTTTCTTTCTCACTCCCCCCCTCGCTCGCCGCGGGGGAGACCTCCCAGGAGCCTCCGAAGATTTCCTCGGGGATCGCCACGGATCTCTTGGAGACTTCGGGGGGCCTTTCGGGGCTTCGAGGACATGGGAGGACCTCCCGAAATGGCCCTGGTGGTGGCGGTTCTCAGGAGGCTGGGTACGGTCGGACCGAAGTATAAGATCAGGTCGATTCGGTGAGGGTACCCTAATGTTCTCCGTGATTGTTGGCTGTTCCTGTGCATCCTGAGGAGGGTACTCTAGGACGTTTTGTTTGTTTTTTTGCCGACGGAGGGTCGCATGTTCTTGAGGGATGCTCTTCTGGCTTCGGTCCGACTGTACAACTCCCTGCCTTGCATCGAGGGAGAGCGCAGAAGGGGGAGGCAGCTCGACGTTGCTGTAGTGGGCGAGCCCATCCAGAGGCCGATGTCTCCTTCGCATCCAGACGCTGGACTCGTTTCGACACCCCTGCGTGGGTGCAATCGCGGTTGGCTTTGCGCTGGCATGTGTGTGCATGTGCTTCGTCGCGATGTTCTTGAGGGGTGCTCTTCTGGCCTGGGCCCGACTGTGCACGTGGCCGGCGACCCGGGCGAGAGCTGGACACGCGGGCGGCCCGCATGTCTTGCCGGCGCGCCGGCCCTCCGCGTGCGTGTCCTGCGCGACGCCCCCGGCTGTTCCACATGTGCATCCTCCTCCCCCTCCTTCTCCTCCTCCTTCTCCTCCTCCTCTTCCTTCTTCTCGACCCTCTTCTCCTCCTCCTCCTCCTTTTCCTCCTCCTCCTCCTCCTCTTCCTCTTCTCCTCCTCTCCTCCTCCTTTACCTTCCTCCTGATCCTTCCCCCCTCCTCCTTCTCCTCCTCTCCTCCTCCTTTCCTCCTCCCTCCTCCTGATCCTTCCCCCCCTCCTCCTCCTCCTTCTCCTCCTCCTCCTCCCTTTACCTCCTCCTCTCCTGATCTTCCCCCCTTCCCCTCCTTCCTCTCCTCCTCCTCCTCTCCTCCTCCTCCTCCTCCTCCTCCTTCCTATCGTCCTCCTCCTCCCCCCTTCCTCCTTCCTCCTCCTCCTCCTCTCCTCCCTCCTCCTCCTCCTCCTCCTCCTCACTCCTCCTCCTCCTCCTCCTCCTCCTCCTCCTCCTCCTCCCCCTCCTCCTCCTCCTCCTCCTCCTCCTCCTCCTCCTCCATTCCTTGTCCTTATAAATATCTCCTCCTTGTCGCACCCCGAGGCCAGATTTTAGGGCGGGCCGGGCGTTTCGCTCGAGACTTCCTCAGCATTTATGACCCTGAAGCTGAAACATTGACAACAGTTTCACAGGTGGAGGGCGGGTGATTTTCAAAATGTGGCTATCGCCTTAGCGCCGCGCACATTCGTTTCAACATTTGCAGAAAAGTTTCACGGATTGAGGGCGGGTGGTTTTCACAATGTGGCTCTCGCCTTAGCGCCGCGCACATTCGTTTTATAACTTGCAAGAGTTTCACGGATTGAGGGCGTTTCCTCTTCAAAATGTGGTTCTCGCTTTATTGCCGCGCACATTCGTTTCACAATTTGCAAGAGTTTCACGGATTGAGGGCGGGCCGTTTTCAAAATGTGGCTCTCGCTCTAGCCGCGCGCATTCGTTTTAAACTTTGCAAGATGTTTACGGATTGAGGGCGGGCCGTTTTCAAAATGTGGCTCTCGCCTTAGAGCCGCTCGCTTTCGCTTTAATATTTACACGAGTTTCGCGGATTCCCATCATCGACGTACCAGAAACTGTGTGTTGGAAGGATTCAGAACATTATGAGGGCGCAGCAGTTAATTACATTGATTCGCGGTGCTGAAATCCCACGAATGGCGTTCTGACACGACTCAGGATCGTCAAGACGCAACAATCAGGTTGATCCGTGGCGTTGGAATCCCTGGAACAATGTTTTGGCCTGGTTCATGGCCTTCAAGCGGTTGCCTTCAACGAGGCAGTTCCTTCAGTGGAAATGAACCGTTGTAGGGCCCTATTAAGAGGGAGCTTGGAGGGAGGGTTTATTCCAACATCGTTGATGACTCTTCGGTTTACACTGGTCCTCCTCCTCATCCTCCTCCTCCCTCTCCTCACCCTCTCCTCCCTCTCCTCCCTCCTCCTCCTCCTCCTCTTCCTCCTCCTCCTCCTCCTCCTCCTCCTCTTCCTTCTCCTCCTCTTCCTCCTCCTCCTCCTCCTCCTCCTCCTCGTCCTCTCTTCCTCCTCGGAGGAGCTGGGGTTCGCTGTGGGGGATGGCGACCCAGCCGACGCCGCCTCGGACCCTCACTCTCGCTGGCCGACGAACTTCGGTGCGGAGCAGTGCTTGGACCTAGGCGCCAAGGGCTTCCCCCTGCCGGTGTTCAACATGCTGCGGGAGGCCAGCCAAGACGGGGTTAATTTCGGTCCGATCGATCTGGTTCGATATCTGCTCCAGCCGGGCCACTTTGATTCGATCCTGATATTCGGGCGATCCGATGCGGCTCGATGCATGCATGGCGCTGTTCTGCATCCGGGCGCAGCTAGTTCGTCTCGACGCCGAGTCCGTGCCGATGCGGCCCGAATCGCCGCACACTGCGTTGCCACCCGATCTGCCGATTCGATGCTGACTGATCCTGCCTCCTTCCCTCCTTCAGGAAAGGGTCTCAAGGTTCTGCCACGTTGCTGCGCTTTTGGTCATCTGCGCGCCGTCGGGGTCTTGCAGAGGCTCCAGGGACCTCCAGACTTGTGGGACCCCCTCCTCCTGCTCCTCCTCCTCCTCCTCCTGTTCCTTCTCCTCCTCCTCGTCCTCCTCTTGCTCCTCCTCCTCTTGCTCCTCCTCCTCCTGCTCCTCCTCCTCCTGCTCCTCCTCCGCCTCCTCCTGCTCCTCGTCCTCCTCCTCCTGCTCCTGCTCTCGGGTCATAGGGCGACGAGATCTATACACTTCCACCGCCTTCTGGCCAGGCCCATCCTGGGCCCAGGATCGGTGTACATGTCTCCCTGGCTTGGAAAGGGGTACGTACACGCCGCTCCTGTGACCAGGGCCTGGCCAGGGACAACGGATATGCTATGTACAGTGGGGGCCCATGCCAAGAGACACCCTGCGTGCCTCCAGGGCGCCCTGGGTGTCTTGGGTTTCGAGGGCTTTGCGTTGGAAGGCGTGGCGCCCCTACGCCAAAAATCAGAGGAAGTCCTGGGGTCTCAGGGTGGGGTTTCTCGTGGAAGGTTTCTTGTGGACTGGCCTCCACTGTATGACAGTTCGTCTTCTCAGCACGCTGGGAAGTCAGGGGGGGTTCCACCCGCGTGGATGCTTTTCGCGCCGGTTGGCTTTCGCCCGGTTCGTGTCGCCCTGGTTTGCTTTGGCCCAGTTGGCTTTCGCCAGTGTTCGTTTTCGCCCAGTTGGCTTTCGCCTGGGTTCGCTTTCGCTCGGGTTGGTTTTCGCCCGAGTTGGTTTTCGCCCGGTTGGCTTTCGCCCGGGTTCGCTTTCGCCCTGGTTCGCCTTCTGCCGGGTTGGCTTTCGGCTGGGTTCGCACCTTCCCGTCAGGGTGCACGCGTGCTCGCTCGGGCGTGCCCCACAATTTAATCCTTAGTGTCCCGCCCGCCCGACCCGACCCGCCCGTTAGGGTCCGCCCGACCCGACCCGACCCATCCCGCCCGTTAGGGTCCGCCCGCCTGACCCGACCAGCCCGTTAGGGTTCACGCGTGCTCACTCGAGCGTGCCCCACACTTTCGTGTCCCGCCCGCCCGACCCGACCCGCCCGTTAGGGTCCGCCGTTCCCGCCCGACCCGACCCGCCCGTTAGGGTCGCGCGACCCGACCCGACCCATCCCGCCCGTTAGGGTCCGCCCGCCCGACCCGACCCGTCCGTTAGGGTTCACGCGTGCTCACTCGAGCGCGTCCACCTTTTGGTGTCCCGCCCGCCTGACCCGATCCGCCTGTTAGGGTCCGCCCGACCCGACCCGATCCGTCCCGCCCGTTAGGGCCCGCTCTCCCGACCCGACCTTTCCTTTGAAAGAGCGTGTTCTACCGCTGCTGGCGGAAAACTTGGGGGGGTCACTACCGGTTCGAACCCCTCCCCCCCCCCCCCTCCGGAAAACCGGGGGGGGTCACTACCGGTTCGAACCCCTCCCCCCCCCCAGCTCATCATGAAAAGGGGGGGGGTCACTACCGGTTCGAACCCCTCCCCCCCTCCCCCCCTCGAAAACCGAGTGGGGGTGCGGACAGAGGTGGGGACGGTGTTGGTGGGACAGTGGTGAGGGGACAGCGGGACAGTGGTGGGGACAGTGGGACAGTGGGACAGTAGAGGGCCGGTAGTGGTGGGGACAGTGGTGGGGACAATGGTGGGAACAGGGGGGACAGTGGACAGTGGTGGGGACGGTGGTGGTGGGGACAGCGGTGTGGGCACAGTGGGAATGAGGTGGAAACAGTGGGACAGTGGAGGGTACAATGGTGGTGGGGACAGTGGTGAAGGCGGTGGCGAGGACGGCGGTGGGACAATGGGACAGAGGTACAGTGGGGACAGTGGTGGGGACAGTGGGGACAGTGGTGGGAACAGTGGGACAGCTCAGTGGGACAGCGGCGGAGTCAGTGGGACAGTGGGGACAGTGGGGATAGTCGGGCAGTGGTTGGGGCCGTGGAGACAGTGGGGAGAGTGGAACCGTGGTGGGAACAGTGGTGGGGACAGTGGGGACAGTGCGACAGTGGTGGGGGCACTGGTGGGGACACAGTGGGGACAGTGGTGGTGAGGACAGTGGTGCTGGGAACAACAGTGGGAGGATGTGATGCGGACGGTGGTAGGGACCGGGAGTCGTTTGCTGGCGGTGAGTGGGGGGTGGGGAGGGGTTCGAACCGGTAGTGATCCCCTCGGTTTTCGAGGGGGGGGGGGTTCGAACCAGTAGTGACCCCCCCCGGTTTTCCGGATCCGGAGGGCGGGGGGGGGGGGGAGGGATTCGAACCGGTAGTGACCCCCCCGGTTTTCGAGGGGGAGGGGGGGGAGGGGTTAGGGGAGGGGGGGGGTTTTGGGGGGGGGGGGGAGGGCGGAGGGGTTCCAGCAGGGGGGGGGGGATTTTCGGAGGGGGGGGGGGGGCGACCCCCGGGTTCCCCGGAGGAAAAGGTTGGCAATTTTCCACAGTAAAGCGGCGGTGGATCACGCTCTCTCTTTCCTTTGGATCCCGCGCGCAACCCCCGGCGAACCGACCCTGGCGAAGCGAAGCCCGGTGAACGCGTACCCCAGCGAAAGCCGACCCCGGCGAGGGCCAACCCCGGCGAGACGAAGCCCAGCGAGCGCCAACCCCCTGGCGAAAGGAAGTCCGGCGAAGCGGCGCCCCGCGAAAGAGCCGACCCCGGCGAAAGCCAGCCCCCAGCGGAACGCACCCGTGCCGGTCCGCCGCGGATCCCCGCCCCCCTCAAAATCTCGGGGGCCCCCAAACGACGGGGTGGTGGCCACACCGTGTGGTGAGTCGGTGGGGGCTCGGGGTCACCGCACGGTTTTGGGACTGTTCTCCGAGGGCGTCTCGGGCGACAGGGGCCTCCGAGGTCCCAAAACCGTGCGCTGACGGACCGTGCGGTGAGGCCCTGGGGGATGTCGAGGTCACCGCACGGTCTGCCACCACACCGTGTCGGGACTCCAGGCAGAAGTCCGTGGCGGGGGCCTTCGAATGCCCCTCCGCCCACACACACACACACTTTGCGTCGCAGCGCGGCAGCGTCAGTCCGCACGCGCGTGGAGCAGGCCCCGCACGCACACACCCTTGTCTTCGGAGCGAAGGTCAGAGGGCGGGGGGGCGCGAACGTCCCTCCCGCTTTTGCAAGTCGGGGGGCGGGGGGGCCCTTTCTCCTCCCCCGGGCGCCGGCGATGGCCACGGCGCCGACGTCTGGCGCCAGCAGACGACGGCGACGTGTCCACTCTGCCCGCCCGGCCGCCTCGCCCACGACGTCGACGACGACGACGACGTGTCCGGCTGGCCCAGCCGAATCGCCCACCACAACGACAGCGTCTCCCGTTCTCACGGCCGACTCGCTGGCAAATGATGGCGACGGCGACGGCGACGGCGACGGCGACGGCGACGGCGACGACGGCGATGGGGTGGTCCGACCTCCCCCGAATTTCGGAGGGGGGGAGGTTGGGGTGGGAGGTTCTCGCCGGGGAGTGGGGGAGGGGCGGGTGTCCGGAGAGAGGGAGGGAATTTTCGAGGGTGTTGGGATTCCAGAGCGGGGGAGGTTGGGGTTTTGCAGCAGTGAAGCGTACACAGAAGATGCTCTCTCAAATCTCGTCGCCCTTTGGCCAAAGCGATGGAGGAGATCATCCCTTCAGTGCTCACCGTTCCTTCCGACGTGGGGTGGATGCCACCTCCAGCACTGGGCGAGCGCGCACCCCTGGGCTGGGGAGCGGTGCTTCCGTGCATCCACTCCCCCTGCTCCCGGCGCCTTGGGGGGAGGAAGCGGAGGCAAGGGTAAGGCGGCCACGTCCCTCTACAGGAGGAAGATCCAAAAATAGTAAAAACATTAGTCTGGGGACGATTTTTTGACCATCTTTGGCTACTTTGGGATTTGACTATTCCCAACCATCCTGTGGTGTTGGGTCCTCGTCTTGAAGAGACGGTTGCCCCGCGTTCCTCCTCTCCTCTCCTCTCCTCTCCTCTCCTCCTCCTCCTCCTCCCTCCTCCCTCCTCCTCCCTCCTCCTCCCTCCTCCCCCTCCTCCCTGCGTTTCACCCACCCACTACAGCGTTTCGTGGCCCCAAAGGGAGCCCCACCGAAGGTCCCAGTGCTACCGTCCGCATGTGTCCCCCCACCCAGTCCTCCCTGCGTTGCAACCACCCAGTACAGCGTTTCGTGGCTCCATAAGGAGCCCCACTGAAGGTCCCAGTGCTACTGTCCGCATGCGTCCCTCCCGCCCAGTACAGCGTTTCGTGGCCCCCTCCTCCCTCCTCCCTGCGTTTCACCCACCCAGTGCAGCGTTTCGTGGCCCCATGTGAGCCCCACCGAAGGTCCCGGTGCTTCCGTCCGCATGCGTCCCCCTCACCCGGTACAGCGCTTCGTGGCCCCATAGGGAGCTCCGCCGAAGGCCCTAGGTCTACCGTCCGCATGCGTCCCGCACACCCAGTACTACAGCGTTTCGTGGCCCCAAAAGGAGCCCGACCGACGCTCCCAGTGGGACCGTCCGCATGCATTCCGAAAACACAATTTGGCATTTTCACCCACCCAGTACAGCGATTCGTGGCCCCGTAGGGAGCTCCGCCGAAACCCTCAGTGGGACCGTCCGCAGGCGTCCCGAAAGCCCAATTTGGCATTTACACCCACCCAGTACAGCGTTTCGTGGCCCCATAGGGAGCTCCGCCGAAGGCCCCAGTGGGATCGTCCGCATGCGTCCCGAAAACCCAATTTGGTCCGCCCCGCGGTTCCCCCAGTTGCGCCCCCTGGGTTCCCCTAGCTTAACTTAGCTAAGCTCAGCTAAGCTAAGCTAAGCTTAGCTTAGTTTAGCTTAGCTTATCTCATCTTTGCTGAGCTTAGCTAGCTTACCTTAGTTTAACTTAGCTTAGCTTAGCTTAGCTTGGCTCAGCTTAGCTTAGCTTATCATAGCTTAACTTAGCTTAGCCTAGCCTAGCCTAACCTAGCTTAGCTCAGCTTAGCTTAGCTTAGCATAGCTTAGCTTATCTTAGCTTAGCTTAGCGCAGCGCAGCCACGCGCAGCGCAGCATTAACACAGCATAGCACAGCACAGCATAGCACATTATAGCATAACATAGCATAGCTCAGCTCAGCATAGCATAGCATATCATATCATAATATAGCGCAGCATAACATAGCATATCATAGCATTGCTTAACATAGCATAGCGCAGCATATCCTAGCATAGCACATCACATCATATACTAGCATATCATATCATAGCACAGCATAGCGCAGCATACCATAGCATATCATAGCATAGTATAACATATCATATCATATCATATCATGTCATGTCATATCATATCATATCATATCACATCATAACAAATCATACCATAACCTAACATAACATAGCATGTCATATCATACCATATCATATCATAACGCGGCATATCATATCATAGCATAACATAGCTCCTAAATGCATCGCATAACATAGCATAGCATAGCATATCATAGCATAGCATAGCATACATGTTGCTTTCCTAAACGCTCCAACTCCTAGGTAGGGTCGCACTGGGATAATTATATACCCACCCAGTACAGCGCTTCGTGGCCCCATAGGGAGCCCCGCCGAAGGCCCCAGTGGGACCGCCAGCATCCGTCCCGAAACACACAGTTTTTCATTTTCACCCGCCCAGTACAGCGCTTCGTGGCTTCATAGGGAACGTCCCGAAAACCCAATTTGGCATTTTCACCCACCCAGTACAGCGCTTCGTGGCCCCATAGGGAGCTCCGCCGAAACCCTCAGTGGGACCATCCGCATGCGTTCCGAAAACCCAATTTGGCATTTTCGCCCACCCAGTACAGCGCTTCGTGGCTCCATAGGGAGCTCCGCCGAAGGACCGAGTGCCACCGTCCGCATGCGTCCCGATAACCCAATTTTGCAGTTTCACCCACCCAATACACCGTGTCGTGGCCCCATGGGGAACTCCATCGAAGCCCCCAGAGGGACCTTCCGCATGCGTCCCGAAAACCCAGTTTGGCATTTTCACCCACCCAGTACAGCGTTTCGTGGCCCCATAGGGAACTCCACCGAAGGCCCCAGTGCCACCGTCCGCACGCGTCCCGAAAACCCAATTTGGCAGTTTCACCCACCCAGAACACTGATTCGTGGCCCCGTAGGGAACTCCACCGAAGCCCCCAGTGGGACCTTCCGCATGCGTCCCGAAAATCCAATTTGGCAATTTCACCCGCCCATGCAGCGGTTCGTGGCCCCATAGGGAGCTCCACCGACGGCCCCGGTGCTACCGCCTGCATGCGTTCCCCCCCGCCCAATACAGCGCTTCGTGGCCCCATAGGGAGATTCACCGAAGAAGATATTCACAATTGCGGTACTCACAACTACGTATGATTGGTTCCTTCGCCAGGATAATTTTTGTCATTTCTTCCCAAATCGGCGTGTAGGGGGACATGCCCGACCTAAGGCAAGGGCCGCCACCGCGAGCCGGGGCGCTGTTAGTTCCAGCGTTGGCAGGATGCTCGGCGCTCGCGCGAGAGCTCGTGAGCGGATTCGTCGCGTCTGCCCAGTGTCGTTGTTTCCAGCCTTACCAGACTTCGCGCCGTGGTCGCAGTCTTGGCCATGGGAGGAGGCCCCGAGGATCGGCGTGTCATCCTGTCCTCCTCCTCAATCCTCCTCCACATTTCGTCACGATCCTCATCTCCCTCCGCCGTGCTGATCGATGCCAGCTGGGAACCTGCTACTGCGGCTACTCCTCGTCGTCGTCGTCGTCGTCCTCCTCCTCCTCCTCCTCATCCTCACTTCCTGCTCCTTCTGATCCTCCTTCTCGTCGTCGCCCTCCTTCTTCCCCTTCCACTTCCTCTCCCTCCCGATCCCCCCCCCTCTCTCTTTCTCTGCTCCCCCGCCGCCGTGCCGCGGAGAGGCCAACTGGGACCCGCAGCGGTATTTCGACGCGCTCCAGGCGAAGGGCTACGGGGAGGACGCGCTCCAGCTGGTGGGCCCCCAGAACGCCATCATGAAGTCGGACTGCATGAGGCCGCGCGCGGTGTCGAGGATCAAGCACATCTCCGCGGTCGGGTGGTCGCCCCGAGCGCCCGGAGGGGCCTGGACGTCCCTCGCTGGGGGGGGGGGAGGCGTCGCGGAGGCCCCTCGCCCGCGGCCAGGAGCTGCGCAGGCCTCCCCCCCCCGCCCTCCTTCGTGAGAGCCCCCCCGCCTCCGAAGGCCCCACCGCCACCGCCCCTCCCCTGGTGATCGTGGTGGTGGTGCTAATGGTGGTGGTGGTGGTGGTGGTGATGCTGGCGACGATCGCGTCGACGAAGACGACGACGACGACGACGACGGTTTCGGTGGTGGTGGTGGTGACGGCGACGATGGCGATGATGACGACGATGACGGCGGTGACGGCGATGATGGTGGATATTATGACGAAGATGACGATGATGACGAACATGATGTTGACTGTGACGATGACGATGATGCTGATGCTGATGTTGATGTTGCTGATGTTGATGATGATGATGATGATGATGATGATGATGATGATGATGATTATGATAGTGGTGATTATGAGGACGAAGATGACCATGACGATGACGACGATGATAACGAGGACTGATGATGATGAGGGCAGGGAGGAGGAGGAGCTAGAGGGGAGCCTTCGCAAGACACCCCGAGGCCTCCTGCAGGGACCCCCAGGGAATGGGCGACGGGGAGACAAGAGAGAACCATGACGATGGTGCGGCTGCTGCTGATGATGATGATGATGCTGCTGCTGATAATGATGATGATGATATTGATGATGGTGATGATGATGGTGTTGATGACGACGGCGATGATGATGGTGATGGTGAATACGGCAATGATGATGATAATGATGATGACGATGATGGTGATGGTGATGGTGCTGGTGGTGGTGATTATGATGACGAAGATGACCATGACGATGACGATCATGATGATGCTGATGATGATGCTGATGATGATGCTGCTAATGATGATGATGCTGATGATGACGATGCGGATGGTGACGATGACGATGATGCTGATGAGGATGATGAGGATGAGGATGATGACGACGAGGATGAGGATGCGGATGATGATGTGGATGATGTTGATGTTTATGTCGATCATGAAACTGCTGTTGTTGATGATGATGATGATGCTGCTCATGAAGATGATGATCATGATGATCATGATGATCATGATGCTTATGGTGATGATGCTGATACTGACGATCGATGGTTATGATGATGATCGTGGTGGTAGTGGTGGTGGAGAGGATGATGGTGACGCTGATGATGATGTTCATGATGATGATGATGATGATGACTATTATGATGATGATGGTGATGATGGTGGTGGTGGTGGTTAATATAAAAGTGGTGGTGTTGGTGGTGTAGAGGCGATGACGATGACGATAACGACGGCGACGACGATGAACACGATGATGATGAGGCTTCTGCTGATGATAATGCTGATGACGATGATACGATGTTGATGGTGATGATGATGATGATGATGATGATGATGATGATCGTGATGGTGATGGTGATGATGATGATGCTGATGATGATGATGATGATGATGATTATGAGGAGTGTGATGATGATACTGTTGACGACGCTGCTGCTGATGACGATACTGATGACGCTGCTGCTGCTGCTGATGATGATGATGATGATGATGATGATGATGATGATGATGATGATGATGATGATGATGATGATGATGATAATGATGAAATGATGATGATGCTGATTCTGATGATGATGATGATGAGATGATGATGATGATGCTGATGATGGTGATGGTGATGGTGATGATGGGATGGTGATGGTGATGATGATGCTGATGATGATGCTGATGATGATGACGATGATGATTATGATGATGATGATGATGATGATGATGATGATGATGATGATGATGATGATGGTGGTGGTGGTGGTGGTGGTGGTGGTGGTGGTTGTGGTGGTGGTAGATGGTGGTGGTGGTGGTGGTCATGATGATGATGACGATCACGAGGATGACGTTTACGATGACGATGATGATGTGAATGTGTGTCGCCGTGAGCGCCTGGGCCTACGGCGTGTCTTGTGGTGGCTTTCTGGGAACCTGCCCTCCCTGGCTGTGCCCCGCGGTGCGGGCCGCCCGTCTGCCCCGGAGGGCCTGCCCGGCTCCATCGTGCCCCCCCTCGCGCTCGGGGCTCGGCCGGCCCGACCGCGGCTCGTCTTTGTCGGGGACTCCCAGATGATGACCCTGCGCAACGCGCTCCACAGGCCAGGAGGAGAGAGGAATGAGGAGGAGATAAGGGAGGAGGCGGAGGGAGGAGGAGGAGGAGGAGAAGGAGGAGGAGGAGGAGGAGGTGGACCATTGTAAACCCAATACTCATAACCCCCTCCCTCCATGCTCCCACTCCATAGGCCCCTACAAGGGCTCATGTCCACTGAGGGAAGTGCCGCGTTGGAGGGCAACTGTGTGGAAATCAAATTCTGAAGCGTGCCAAAGTACCATTCGACCACTTTCAATTATCAACGTAGAGAGTCAACCCGACTGTTGCGCCTTGACGATCCTGAATCGTGCCAGAGGACCATTCCTGGGACCTCGGCGCCGCGAATCACATGACTGCTGCGCCCTGGCAATCCTGATTCGTTCCGAAACATAACTTCTGGTACGTTTGCCATGAGAATATGTAGAACGCGGGGAATGCGCGCGGCCCTAAGGTGATATCCGCATTGTGAAAAGGAGCCGCCCTCAATTCGTGAAGCTCTTGCGGTTTTTGAAACGACTGTGCGCGATGCTAAGGCGGGAGCCACCTTTTGAAAAGGAGCCGCATTAAATCCGTGAAACTCATGCAACAGTTTACCATGAATGTGCGCGGCGCTGGGGCGAGAGCCACATTTTGAAATTACCCGCCCTCAATATGTGAAACTCCTGCGAATGTTTGAAACGAATTTGCGCGGCACCCAGTCGAGAACCACATTTTGAAAATGACCCGCTTTCAATCCCTGAAACCCTTGCACATGTTTTAGACGAGTGTGCTCTGTGCTAAAGATAGAGCCACATTTTGGAAGCGGCCCGCCCTCCATCTGTGAAGCTGTTGCCAGTTTTTGAGCTTCAGGCTCGTAAGCGGTAAGGAAGTTCCAAGCGAAACGCCCAGGCCGTCTTTCTGACTTGCCTCGGGCTGCGATAGGGAGGAGTTGTGCATGAGGGAAAGGAATGGAGGAAGAGGAGGAGGAGGACGATGACGAGGAAGGATGATGATGATGATGATGATGATGATGATGATGATGATGATGATGATGATGATGATGATGATGATGATGATGATGATGATGATGATGAGGAGGAGAAATACAAGGAGGGGAGGAGCTGCTACTTGCATGACGGTTGCATGTAGACTTGGAGCGTCGTTTCAGCACACATCAATTATGGCTCTTTAGTGCACTCTTGACGGCCCTGGCTTCCCGCAGGTTGAACCCAAGTTCTTGGATTTGAGTGCGCAGTAGTTGTGGCGTGCCCTCTGCAGCACACTCCACAGGCTGAACAGGTGTCCGGAGATCTATTTCGACAACAGCACCACTGAGGAGTTGATCTCGCGTCGGCGAAGCGGGGAGGATCTGTGGGGACTAAAAGTACGGAGCGAGCGGGATTCGCCTGTCCTCCACTTTCCCTTCTCCCTCCTCCTCCTTCCCCTACTCTCCACTTCTTCCCCCGCCTCATCCTCCTCATCACTCCTCTGTCTTACCTCCGATGGCATTTGGCTTCGAGGCGGAGCGTGCTCTGTGCTGTCCTCGGTCTCGACTTTCTGGTGGGTGGGTCAGGTTTTTCCCGCGCCATGTGCTGAATAGCACCTGAAGTCCACCTCGTAGTGTCCTTCGCTAGGGTCCTCCTCCTCATCTTCCTCTCCCTTCCCTCCCTCTCTCCATTCTCCTCGTCTCCTTCTCCCGCTTCCTTCCTCCCTCTCTCCCTTCCTCCCAGTGCTTTTTCTTATAAGTGGCTCCTCCCTGCTGCACCCCCAGGCGTGTCGGTAGGGCGGGGCGGGCGTTTCACTTGAGACTTCCTCACCATGTACGACCTTGAAGCTTGAGATTTCCAACAGTTTCACGGATGGAGGGATGGTGATTTCTAAGATGTGGCCCTCGCCTTCCGCGCCGCGTGCACTCGTCTTGACAATTTGCAGCGGTTTCAGGGATGGAAGGGGTCGATTCCAAAGTGTGACTCTCGCCCTTCACGCCGCGTGCATTCGTCTGAAAATACCGCGGGCGTGTCACGGATGCTGAGGGCCGTTTTTGAAACGGTGTTTTCGCCACGATGTCGCGCATATTTTTCCAACGTTTGTGCAGCAGTTTGACGGATGGAGCGAGGGCGTTTTCAAAACATGGTGTTCGCCTCAGCGCCATGCACCGTTGTTTTAAGATTCTGCTTCAACTTCACGGATGCGACGGGTGGTAGTGAAACATGTAGCTCTCGCTTGAGTGAACTGTTTCACTGGTTGGGGGTCATTTACAACATGTGACTATCGCTTTAGCGCCGCGCACGTTCGTCTTCACAGCTTGGAGCAGTTTTACGGATGGATAGAGGATATGCGTTTCGCATGCATTTGTTTCAAATGTTTGCAGCAGTTTTGGGGATGGATGGGGGGTCGTTTTCAAAGTGGTGTGTTCGCCCCAGCGCCGCGCGCATCCATTTCAAACGTTCGCAATGGCTTCGCGGATTGAGGGGCGGTTGTTTTCAAACAGTTGTTCTCGCCTTTCGCACCGCCTTGGAACATATTGCAGCAGTTTCGCGAATGGAGGGGGGGGGTCATTTTCAACATGTGACTCTCGTCATTTTCACGCGTGCATCAACAACACGAATGGAGGGTGGTTCCATTTCAACACGGTGCTCTCGCCTTTCGCGCCGAGCACATTCTCCTCAAAGAGTTGGCAACAGCTCCACGGATGGGAGTTTTTTTTTTCTTCTTCAAAATGCGGCCCTCGCCTCAGCGCCGCGCACGCTCGCTTTCACTGTTTGCAGCAGTTTCGCGGGTGGAAGGGGTGGTGGTGGCCGTTTTCGGAGTGTGGGCCTCGCTTTCCTCGGACGCTTGGCGAGGGCTGGCAAATCCGTGGCTGCTAAGACGGTCTTCCTGGAAGGAAAACAAACAAGTTCCCGCAATAAAGCTCAGCGCGCCAAGTAGTGACCAGGCTGCTTCCCAGAAGAAGAAACAATTTCCCAGAGCTCCGTTTTAGCACCCACGGGTTTGCCAGCCCTCGCCCGGCCTCTGATCCTCGCGCCGCGCACGTCGTCTTTTCCGTGGCAGCAGCTTCGCGGGCGGAAGGGGGTGGGGCTCGTTTTTTAATTGTGGTTCTGGTCCTGCGTGTCGCGCGCACTCGTCCCAACAGTTTGTGGCGTACCACATCGGATGGAGAGGGTCAGAAGCCGGGCAAGGGCTGGCAAACCCGTGGCTGCTAAAACGGAGCTCTGGGAAACTGTTGTTTTTCTTTCTGCGAAGCAGCCCGTTTGCCATTTAGTGCGCTGAGCTTGATTCCGGGAATTTGTTTGTTTCTCTTCCGGGAAAACCGTTTTAGCAGCCACGGATTTGCCAACCTTCGCCCAGCTTCCAAGAGGGGTGTTTTTCTCGAAATGTGGCTCTCGCCTGTCGCGCCGCACACATTCGTCTCAAAGCTCTGTAGCACCTTCATGGTCGGATGATGGGGGCGGTCGTGAAGAAGCACGTGGCTATCGCTTCACCGCCGCGCGCATTCGTTTTCTCATGCAGCATTTCGGCTTGATGCCTTTTTCTTTTGATTTCGAGTTGTCGATTGAGGCTTCGCCAGGTTTCAGGCCGCGGAACTTCAGGTAGCGCTGCGCGGATCCACGGGGGGGCTCTTTTTCAACATGGAGTTGTCGCTTGGGATTTCCTCGAAGTCTATGGCCACGAGGATAAACTTGTGCAGGAGTTGCACGGATGGGGAGCTGTTTTTTTTTGGAGGGGGAAAGGGTGCTATCGCTTAGGACCTCGTTGAATCGTATGGTTATTAGTTGTTGGCGTTCTTGACTGCGCGCCAGAAAGATGCAAGGGGCCTTCGCCAACATTGCAGGCCAAATTGAACTGTTGTTTCAAGGGGGGCGCTTCCTGTTGAAAGGAGGAGTCTTATATGGGCGCATGTCGAGGGGACTTGGGACGAGAGGGTGTACTGCAGCATCGCTGATGCATATTTTGCTTACTCTGGCACTGGTCATCATCATCATCATCATCATCATCATCATCATCATCATCATCATCATCATCATCGTCATCACCATCGTCATCATCATCGTCATCACCATCATCACTATCATCACCATCATCATCACCATCATCACCATCATCATAATCATCAGCATCAACACCAGCATTTGCATCAGCAGCATGATGGTCATCATCACAGTCATAATCATCATCATCAGCGTCACCATTATCAGCATCATTATTAGCATCATTATACTCATCATCACCATCACCATCATCATACTCACCATCATCATCACCATTACCATGACCACTACCGTGATCAATCCAATTGTCATTGTAATTACCATACTCATCATCATTATCATCATTATCAGCAGCACCATCATCACCATCACCGTCACCATCACCATTACCGTCACCATCACCATCACCATCACCATCACCATCACCAGCGTCATCATCACCATCATCACCATCATCTTCATCCTCCTCATAAGCATCTCCATCATCACCATCATCCCACACCCAACTCGCTCCTCTCTCCTCCTCCCCCCTCCCCCCTCCCCTCCCCCCCTCGCTCCCCCCCTGCTCGCAGCCCCCCCCTCCTCCAGGAGCAGGAGCGGCGGGGCCGCCTCCACTCTGGCACGCTGCAGTCGCCCGAGGGCCACAGGGTGCCCAAGGGGTGCACGGAGGAGGGCATCGCTTCGTTCATCCATCCACGGCGCTTCGCGGCACCACGTCCGGACAGGCCAGGGTTTCACTGGGCAGCCGATGCTCCTCGGGCTCCCGCGAGCCGGCGAGAGGCCGCACCCGGGCCGTCCTGGGCCCGATGGGCGTGCTTGGGGCGCGTCTGGGCTTCTCCTGGGCCTTCCAAGCTGTTTGGTGGGGGTGCGCGGAGGAGAGCGTCGCCTCGGTCATCCATCCCCCGGGGCCTCTCGCCGCCGCCAGCCCCCGCCAGGATCGGTCAGAGGGGGAGCCAAGGTGCCGATGCCGCTGGTCGTGCCCTCGACGCCACGGCTGGATTCTCCTCGGGATGCCAGGCAGAACGCAGCCCGCGAGAGGTCCGGGAAGTAGCGGTGTCGGTACCCGTCGGTTCCCCCAGCACGGGGCCAGAGCAGGTCGGTGCAGAGGCTCGCGCGCAGCGTTGCCGATGCACCCGCGATGTGGCTCGATTCTGGGCCTGATTTCTCTCCATCTCGACGTCGCTGAGGCATCGCCGATGCGTGTCCATCCTGTGACTCCATCTACTCGGACCCCACTTGGGCGGCCTCTGCAGGAGGAGGAGGGGGATGAGGATGATGATGATGAGGATGAGGAGGAGGAGGAGGAGGAGGAGGAGGAGGAGGAGGAGGAGGAGGAGGAGGAGGAGGAGGAGGGAGGAGGAGGAGGAGGGGGAGGAGGAGGAGGAGGAGGAGGAGGAGGAGGAGGAGGAGGAGGAGTAAGAAAGGGAGGGGGAGGAAGAGGAGGAGGGGAAGGGTCAGAGGCGGAAGGGCTGCCGTCCTTTTCACACTCGCCCCCTGAGGGGTCTGGGAAGCAGCAATATCAGTATCATTCCACTCCCCCAGACGAGGAACGAGGGAGGGGGAGGAGGAGCAAGTGGAAAAGGAGAGTGAGAAGAGGACCGAGTGGGATCACTGGGAGGTGGATGATCGTGGTCCAAGGGGAGGAGGGGTAAGAGGAGGAGGGGGAGTAGGAGGAGGAGGAGGAGGAGGAGGAGGAGGAGGAGGAGGAGGAGGAGGAGGAGGAGGAGGAGGAGGAGGAGGAATAGGAGGAATAGGAGGAGGAGGAGGAGGAGGAGGAGGAGGAGGGAGGAGGAGGAGGAGGAGGAGGAGGAGGAGGAGGAGGAGGAGGAGGAGGAGGAGGAGGAGGAGGAGGAGGAGGAGGAGGAGGAGGAGGAGGAGGAGGAGGAGGAGGAGAGGAGGAGGAACATCGCGAGGGGGAGGAGGAGGGGTGGAGCAGGAGTAATCGGTGCGAAGGGGCGCATCGCGTGCGACGTCGCCCCCAGCAAGCGAGGGGGCGGGTGGACTGGGACGCGTGGCACTACGGGCTGCCGCTGCGGGAGATCAAGCGCGAGATCAGCGATCTCGGCCTCGACACCTCGGTAGACACTGTGGTTGTGTGGGTAGGCCCCCGCACTGCCCCACTCTTTCCCCTTCTCTCTCCCTCTCTCTCTCTCTCTGTCGCTGAGGTTTCTACTGCAGACAAGAAGGGTCGTGCGAACCACGTTTTTTTGATGTACGCACAACATGAAGCGAACCCAACTACGACTGCTATCAAGACTCGTAGTGAAAGTAATGCCACGAACAATGATATCATGAAGAGTCAGAGTTGCGAGTTGCATGACTATTCGTTGCAGTCGTAGTTCTGACACGATTATACAAACACTGTAATCGCAGCAGAACGTATAGCAACACTCACGCTCGTGATAGTGAGAAGCGCAGGACGCGCTGCTGCCAAGGACAGTCACACACACACACGCACACACACACACACACTAAGAAGCGTAAGACGAGGCAGCGACAAACACATGGCGTCTTGAAGGTCCGCACTGATGCTCTCGTATCTGCGCTGGACCTCCCTGGCGGCGCCTCTGGCGCAGCCCTGGCGTCTAAAACAGTTCGCGCGGGACTCCGGAAAAATTGTGTTGCTCTTCTTGCTCTATTATCCCCGCTTCTCCTCTTCCCTATAACTCCTCCCTCTTCTTCTCTCCTCCCTCTCCCGCACCCCGCGTGGGTGTTGGCAGGCTCGAACTACGTGCGCAACGACAGCCGGACCGGAGTGTTCCACAGCACCGTCCAGGCTCATATTCTACCATCCCAGCGTCCCCTGCCATTCGGATCATTTCTCTCCTCATTCGTATCGTTCCTTTTTCTGCTGCTCAGTCGCTTCACATTTCCCCTTCCTCTTCCACGGGTCTCATCCTTCTCTCTGGGCTTCTCGGCTTCTTCCTGCTCCTCGTCCTCTCCATGGGTTCCTTCCCTTTCCACTTCTTCTTCTGCCTCGTAATCTTACCCATCCTGGCCCCTCCACCCCTTCTGAGCACCACTTCTGCGACCTTCTCCTCGCCCAGGCGCTCCACGACCTGAAGGTCAAGATGGTTTGGGACACGCCCACCTACCAGGACGCTGCCTGTGGCAGCCCTTCCCTCGCACCGTTTTGCCACGCGCTGCGCTGTGCTCTCGCTGAGCACACCGTCGCGCTCCCCCCTTTCCCTCCCTCCCCTCGCGATTCTTGGGCGTGCAGGCATTTTTCTCTTTTTGCTGTTGCTGCCAAACAGGACGCCCATCTTCCTCGAGCAGTTGTGAGGCGTCCTGTCTTGCCAAAAAGTCCACCAAAGATCCGTATGTGGTTTGCACGACATGTTCTCAGAACACGTCTGGCTGTGGCCGTCTCGTTTTGACATGACTACCGGCTTATTTCTGTGATCTTTTCTGGTTTTTGCAAGATTCTCCAGTTCTAGGAAATCTCGTGGTGGGCCCATACGAATGCCAGGACGGTCGGTCCCTGCTTAGCTACCAGTCGGCCACGCGCTCAGGGGGGTATGGGAGAGGGGGGAAGGCCTCTTAGAAGGAAGCTGTTCGTACAAGGCGCTATAGATGTAAGGCCGGCGCCTTCTAAGCAGCAGCTTTCTAAGAAGCGTTCCCCACTCCTCTTACCCCCTTGTGCGCGCCGCCAAACCATCCCCGCCCACCAGCCCACCCCAACCCGACCCGGAGGCCCCAATTCGCCTTCAACAGGGTGGGGGCGACGTGGAACGTTGACAAAAACACGTCTGGAACCCGTACCCCACCCACCCCCCCAATCCGAGATTCGGGTCTTCGAGTTGGGTTGGGGTGGTCTGGCGGGTAGCCAAACCAGGACGTGGCCCTCATGGCCGCCACGTCGACCCACCACCAGGGGATGGACCGCGGCGTGCCCATCGTGTACACTTCCATCGTGGGGCAGGGAACCCTGCGCGGCGGCGGGCCTCCGTTCCCCCCCCCCTCAGGCATTCTTCCCCTCCCGCTGCTCCGTGGAGGCGACGGAAGAGGAGGAGGAGGCGGAGGAGGAGGAGGAGGAGGCGGAGGAGGAGGAGGAGGAGGCGGAGGAGTAACTAGGAGGAGGAGGAGGGGGAGGAGGAGGAGGAGGAGGAGGAGGAGGAGGAGGAGGAGGAGGAGTAACTTGGAGGAGGAGGACGAGGAGGAGGAGGAGGAGGAGGATGAGGAGGAGGAGGAGGAGGAGCGAGGAACCAGGAGCGAGGAGCCAGGAGCCAGAAG